GCGCTCAGTCGACCTTTATGAAAGTCCTCATACATAAGGTGCTTTGAGAAACCTGGCTGGCAGGTGTACATCTACATGTTGCTGCATGAACCACTGATCCACAGATACAGTACTGAGTAATGTGACAAGCCACAGTCAGAAGCCAAAAACAAGATTGATATCAAGTTTTCCTTTATGAGCTCATGATCGTTTATCTGTGACATTATTCATCACCTGCTAAATGTTTTTGGCTACTTCAAACTCACATTGCATGTTCTTCCCTCTCAAAGAGGCTTGTCAAAAGCTGCTGTCTACAACAAACAAACAAAAAAGCACTTTTCTGTAATAGAATCACAGTTATTATGATACAGGTTACTTAATGGGTGAGATCATATTTAGCTTGTAATTTATTAAGTGTTAGCTATTTGCATGAATAGTCATTCTGACGTGATAATTTATTAATGGCGAGCAGTGTGAATTAATGACGCATTATTCATTGCTGCATTCCTGCGGCATATGTTTTGTGGCCTAATCATGATGTGTTACAGACATTCATACACAACATGTCAACCACGGCTCATGAGAAGATTCTGTTATGTGTAGCAAACTGGGGACGTTTTGTGTGATTCCATACTCCTTTGCTCAATTGCACCAAAATCCGTTATCAGGTGGCACGTCGCTGACCAACAAAAGAAAAGAGGCAAAGTCATGTCTTTCTTTAGCCTCCCCATAACTGAAATGGCCAGATTTATTCAGATTAGTTCCTCCAAAGCACTTCATAACTTATCTCTGCAGGGGGAAACGGTTGTGACCTTGCACTATAAGGAGCCCCGTGCTTCTGGCCCACATAGCTTTAAGCTCAAGCTGCTGGTTCGCTCGGATGTTTTGACTCTTCTGTTTACACTAGCAAATCCCCATGCTGGAGTCTCTGTACCAGCCTTCCGCTCAAGCTGGACCAGTTACCACCCTCCTTTATACAGCTCAGGAAACACAGCATAAAACTACTGCTTTGTTTTTTTCATCAATCGGGGAATCATTCAAAGATCATTTCATCCTCCAGCCAAAAGCAATTTCTGTCTGTGTATGTGCAAGAGACATCTAAGTAATACCACTCTCTTCTCTTCATATTCCCAACAGTCTCAAGACAACCCTACAGAAAAAAATGTCCAGCGACTCCGTCGACTTGTCTGGTATTCCCCTCTCGACCCGGGACGTCCGTCAAGTCGCCTTCTACCTCCAAAACAACAGAGACAGTGTGGTGGCTGTAGACATCAGCTTCACCGAACTTGTTGACGAAAATTTAAGGTTTCTCTTGCCTTTCCTCGCCTCGCTGCCCAAACTCAGCACCTTAGCCCTCAATGGCAACCGCCTCACCCTGGCTATACTCAAAGACCTCACCGAAATGCTCAAAGACCCCAAGAAATTCGCCAGCCTGGCCTGGATCGACCTAGGGAACAACATGGACATTTTCACCATGCCTCAGCCTCTGCTAGTCGCATTGCGCCGGCGCTGCAGCCTAAAGAGCAGCCTGCCGACGATCTACGAGTACACCGAGGGTCAGCCCTACTCCTACCACCTGGAGACATCCATTGAAGAGCCCAGCCACTATGAGGAGGACGAGGAGGAAGATGAAGATGGGGAAGATGATGAGGATGATGTGGGGGACAAATTTGAGCTGGAGCCCTGGGGGTTAGGGGAGAAGCAGCTCTCCAAAGACTTTACCCTTCACTACTGTGAGAGGTGATGGGGTCATTTTGTCTCCGAGGTTCTTTCAACTGTGGTTGAAACGTCGTCCCACAGCACTCCGCTACTTCCTTCGCCTTCTTGCCCTCACACCACGAGCCCAGTTACCCCTCAAGACATGAGGGAGACCAGTGCCCACATTGTGAACTTCTTGTCCCAACACAGCTACCAAGCTATTCCTAACCATCTCTGAGTTAACCCACACAAGATAGAGACAATGAAGCGACAGCCGCAGCGGCCATGACTTACCGTGTTTGTGGATGGTGCTCTTGGGAACGAGGTGCGGTTTCATTGGAGGGGGGGCCGGAAGGATTAACAAACCAGTGCTCTCTCTCTTTCTCGCTTGCTGTCTCTCTTTCTCTCTGTCTCTCTTTCTCTCTGTGACAGTGGCAGCTGAGAAGCCAATCTTGAGGAGGTTTGAGATCAGTTGCTCAGATGGAGGAGCAGCATCCCGGCGGTAGCTGAAGAGGAACTCGAGCCAGTTTGGAAACAGTGGGTCCCTCCGGGTTTCTCTACCAGGACTGAGTCTATCTCTGGCAGGCAGGGCCTAGCTCCACATTGTGTGTTCTCTGTTAATCTCTCAACAAAAGCTATGACACAAGTTCAACAGACTATACAGCCGACGACCCATCACGTGACGCCCGGCAAAACTGCTAGGTCGACTTTTTGCGTTTTCCCCCCCTTTCCAAATGTCCACTTGTGAATACCCACGCACACCCTTGTGTAGTTGTAAATGAGGACACAAAACATGGCTCTGTTGTGTTTCCACAGGCTATTTTTGTGCACTTTTCGGTGAACAAAGCAATCTTAGAAGACAACAGGTAGGACCAAACAATGGATAGCGGTCACTGATTGCTTTTGTACTCGCCCGAATGCTCTTATTCCCTTCTCTGTGTGATTATTGAGATGTTGTGCTCATCCCCACTGTGTGTTTCAGTGCATTTGTGACACCACAGCCAGCTGTTCATGCGGGCCACTAAGTCAGAGCAGTGTCCAAGCTGCCCTTTCCTACTGCTGTGTGTCTCTACAGATATGTTGTCGTTCCCATTTATTGATGCTGTACTTTAGTGGTCCTGTGTTTTCTAATCAGACGCAGCCATGACTGTTATCTATTGGTTCTAGTCTGCTTGTAGTAGCACATGATGTTTAAGTTAGACTGACCGAAACACTGCGATGCACTTTAAGGCAGTTTGATTTTTTTTTTTATATATTTCAGTTTTACCATAGCATAGCCTCTGTGTACATCGATTATAAGCAGTGAAGCAGAGAGCTGAAAGTATACCTGCAGACGGGGAAATGACGGCTCCTGATTGTTGAAGCAATCATTAAAAAATCATCACTAGATATATAATAAATGTTTGCTGTGTGTTATATGTGTGTATCCGTAATTTGTCCGATTGTTGCTGTAATGATTTGTGTTATTGTTTCGGTGTTTTGTCACTTGTCCAACTCAGTAGTTACAATAACGACTATGAAACTGAGCCCTGCGACCCGCTGTTAGCTTGAACAATAGAGCAAAAAGGGAAGCGGCCGATGGGACGACGCAATAAAACAGAAAATAGATCAGTGAATGTAGTTCACAGTCAGAGCGGACACCTCTTTCCATGTCGAATGTTTACTGGGAGTGATGGAGAAGGCTGTCCACCTGGTTTGTAGTTTGTTTTCATGTGTCAATGTCAAACTCTTCCTTGTTGTAGCCTTTGTGTATCTGTCTCATGCCCAACACTGACTGCCAATAAATGAACGAATTCAAACTAAGAGCAGATGTCGGGTTTTATTTTAACAGTCAAAGTACACACCGAACAGCTGGAACATCTGGGTCACCAGAAGAGCCTGCACCTGACCCCCAAAAGGAAGATTTATTTATTTATGCAGATTAGTCTGCAAATAGGGTAATCAAAGAAATCAGCTCAGCCCGTGCTGTTTGGGATTTGTTATTGGAATGTCGTGCTTGTTTCCCAGCCAGCAGATCATCTGCGCTGCTGTGAGCTGTCAGTGAAATGCCTGAACTGCCACTGTTTGCCAGGGAAAAGCAGGGTGGTCATCGCATGAGGCCCTACCCATGATCCTCTCCTGGCAACCTTTTGTTCCTGCTGCCAGACATGGTAATGTGACATTTGCAGCAGGTGGCTCCTATAAGGTCAGGGCACAGTGTGACTGTCACACCCCCCGAGGTCCAAATACCATGTGACAGGGCAAAGCAGCCCACCCTAAAAAACACCAGGATCTTATCATCTGACCTTTTCCCTTCAGGATTGATTTATTTTCCTGTATTACGAGTAAAATAACATTTTATCTGTGTTGCTGTGAGAATTGATTGCGTGCTGTAGGTGTTCACTGGAAAGTGCGTCAAACTTTCGCTCAGCAAATGTCTCTGCTGAATGTATGAGTCAACGTTTGATCGGATTATCTTGTTCCAACTGCTACAATGTCCCCCACAAAAAATTTCAAACTGATCTATGAGAAACAACATAGACAGGCTGCACAGACTACATTACGGGGCACACATCAATAACAGTGACCTCAGGTTGGAGGGAGAGACCAACAGCAGAAGGGCACATTGGTACATCCACAAAAAAGCCATTACTGCCCGGCTGTCAAACATCGACTGCGACCAGAATTTATTTTTTCCTTTTGTTTACTTTATTTTCAACTGTATATTCATTTTTTAATCATTTTGGTTTTATAAAAAAAAATAGAAACCAGATTTTCAATGCATCTATAACATTTTAAGGTGAAATTTAAAGTACTGACCATTCAACCATTTATTATAAAAATGAGCAACTTTGAAGATGTATCCATTACTATTATACACACAGGGAATATGTTTTGCACAAATGCAAAATTTTCATTTGATATATGTACATAAAATAACAGTGACAAAGCAGCTCATGTGCAAAGGGTAAAAATGCTATGCATGAACAGCTATTTATATGTCAGACATAAGAACCTCTGATCCAAAAGAAAAAAAAAACTAAAGTTAAGAAGCAAAAAATATTTAGTATTTCATTTTTTTAAAGAATTTTAACCTCCTAAGACCTAAACTCTTTCATGGCATGCATTTTTCATTTCTCTTTGTTATTTGGGCTTTTGGGACCTGATGAATGTAAAAAAATTACCTGATTTTTTTTTTTTCCTGATTTTTGTTTCTGAGAAAAATGAGATCCACATAAGATGACATTCTATCTAAATTTCGATAGAACAGTGGCAGTATAATGTCCTCGTAAGTGGATATCAGGCCCTTGTAGAGCAAAATTTAGTATGTTGGTCTAGACAAACCAAAATGTGATGTCCACTGATGTGGATGCCATGTCCTAGGAGGTTAAACTGATGCCACACACCCTGCGACCAAATGGACGAATATCTCAATTTAAGACAACATTATGAATTAATCTCTATAGTCTGTTGCCTCTAGATTTTGTGAAGCTGACAATGACAATCGCACCAGTGTTATTTGGTTTAGCCTATTAAGTTTTAATTGTGAGTTTTACAAAGCTTGAATATACAAGTGGGACACGGGCACTGTGAAGTTACCCACTACTTTGTAGTGTTCTATTTCTAATGTCTTATGCCTGTCACCATTTTTTTTGTTTCATCCATCTGAACAATCATGTGAAGCATAGTTTACAAAACATGTAATCTATAAGACTTAAAAGCAAGAACTGAGCCTATAAATCCACCACAATCGAGCCGTTTTCCCACAGATTTCTATACAACTGTCTCTAGCTGGCACGACGCTTAGAAAAAACGCAGGTTTAAGTAATTTTAAACTATGTGCTTCTTTCACTTCTTTTATCTGCAGTCTATGTGAATGATTGGGGGTTTTTTTATTCAGTCTATTCATGTCCAAATTTTGGCATCAAACAAAGAATATTTTTTGAATATTTGCATGATTGTGAAATCAACATTTAAGAGAAAGATTTGGCTGTTAAATATCAGACCAACTATTATCCTAAATTGGCTGATAAAAATTTAGATAATGAAATTCAATATCAATATATCCCCAATAATTTATAAAATATAATAACATTTTTTCAGTTTTTATGATGTATTTGTTTTCTTTGTACTCTTTTGGCTTTATGATTTGAACATTGAATTATTTTATCATTAAACTCAGTTTTGTTATGCACATGCCTGAAACACGAGTGTAGTATCATGTACCTTACATATGTATCTGTTGCTTTTACAACAGAAAACCTGAAAGAAATGCCAGAGAAGAGAGAAATGGCAGAAGTACCAGATGGTAAAATGTGTACAAATAAGCAGAAGAGTGAAAGGGGGGGGGGGGTCAAGGCACAGTCACAGATAAGGCTGTTGCTTCTTCTTGTGCAGCAAAATCCATCATGTTACTGTTAGAGTCAGTTGTGTCTAGAGGCCACGAGTTCAACTGCTACATGCTTCTGTAGGTACTCAGCTGAAGAAGACAGATAATCAACATCTTGTTCAATGATTTTCCAGCAGGACAGACACCATCTGCTACAGATTTTGTGGTTTTGTGGCTGCAAGAATTTGTATAACCTTAAAGCTATGCTATTAAACTAACATCCCTGGCTTTTGGCCTCAGTAACCAGCTGCTTTGCCTTTTTTCCTTTCATCAGACCATGCAGAGATACAGCTGTCTTCCTTTTCCACAGCGTTAACTACATTGTAGAAACGTGTTGCTAGTTGATGATTGTGTCCCTTTTTCTTAAGAGCCTCAATTACATCCTGAAGTACAAAGAGGAGAAGAGATTCAGATAGAACAAAAGCAGAATTTCTTATTGTGCTATCATTTAAATACACTGAATATTTACACGTACCTTTTCAAAGTTGAGTTCAAACTTTACTGCATTTTCAGAGTCGACATAAACAACTGGAGTATTAATTGCGTCCTTAAGGCTCTTTCCAAACCAAAGGTGGTTTATGAGCGCCTTGAAGAGAAATAGTAGAATACATTGCAGTCTTTCAGATGGGAAAGTGATGATTAAAGAATGGATTAGGGTGAAAATGCCTCTGACTACAATGTTTACTCTAACACCAAAGAGGGTTTGCATCATTTTATCTCCTGGACACGTACCGAGGCCATTCCAGTAGTGATCATATTCCCACCAGTCGATCCAATCACCAGTGTCTTCGACTGAGACTTCAGCACAACTGGAGCCATAGAGGAGGGAGGCTGCTCTCCTGAGAAATACAACAAAAGCCTTGAGTGACAGCACAAAACTACAATCCACACTCATCACTGTTAGGAGAAAAATGATCACAAAATGATTGCTTCTGAATGATGTGAAGCAGAGGGTGAAGGGCATTTATTCAACCCTGACATGTGCCGTTTACTTTTGTTCAGCATCTGACATCAGACATCAATGTTCACATTGGCATCCTCGTCTTCAAGCAACTTAAAGAAGTCCAGACGCTTTTCTTTGCAAGCTCCTTTCACCAAAATAAAAGCTTTCCGAAAACCTCCAGTGCAAAAGTGTGCCGGTAGTGGTCAGACACGTTCTCACTCCCAAAGCGTAATAATTTTCGCTAGGTGACAAATTTTCAACATTTTATGCTTTCGGGTACCCAACACGTTCCTAAATTACAGCATCGGAAAAAGGAGAGCACATGAGAACCGTTTGGACTCAATCTACACATGTTGTTCATTTTCTAAAAATCGATTTGGAAAACACTATTTTACGTCATTTAACTGCTAGTAAAGGTTAGGAATAAGGTTATAGTTAGGGATAAGGTTAGGTTTAGGGCTGGAACACATGGCTGGAACGTCTATTATGGCGAGACCGTCATTCCACTGGAATTCAGCCATAACCCGACCATGAGAAAGCACGTCCGGCGATTTAGCTGAAAACATCGGAAGATCCGTTTTGTCGGCCATCCAAAGGTTTAGCAGTAGTGCACTCTTAGCAGCTGCAGTCTCCACTTCACAATCGCTGCAGCACATGTCCAGCAAAATCGCTGGACATGCTCGTAGGCAAGAAGTGAAGCGGGGAGAAGTGTGGAGGAGAACAGACAATTTTGCACCGGAGGTTTTCGGGAAGCTTTTATTTTGGTATTTCCATTGATCCGTACAATTAATTTGCATATTAGCCTAAACATTTAGGTTTAACATTTAACATTTA